ATTAGCATCTAATAAAAAAAATACATACTATTCTTATAATCCAAAAAGTGCACATGAGGCATGTTCTACGATAGATCCTAGCTGGGGAATTACAAATAATTCAAATTCTATATTTTGTCTCTTGAAATTGCGAAAAACTGTAATGGACCTTGTTGAGAAACATTCAACCCGTTACGTGCTGCTACCAAAACTTGATGGCACATTTACTATCAATTCAAATGAAATTTGGAAAGAATGTGTTGGCGAAATGATACAATTTTGTAAAAACAATGATTTGCTTCAACTATGGATCTATATGTGGAAAGAGTGGTACTCTAAAGATAAGTGAAATTTGTAGGCACAAGCAACTGATGAGAGTATCAGCCATATAAAGACCACAATGACAGTTGAATCTCATTGGTGACAGATAAAGCATGATTATTTGTACAAGTTTTATAAACCCCGGGTTGATCATTTATGCTATATCCTTGTAAAAAAAGTAATTAATCGGCATCTATACTGAATTCAACTGCTTGAACAAGGTCGTTACTTGGTACCATGGCGTAAGGCGTTTAAAAAAGAATAGAGACAGCTTGAAAAAAAACAATACAGGAAAAGGACAAGTATTTGACAGATCCGGCTAAATGGATATGTGCATGTCCTGCATATATTCGAAGACGTTTTTTTTTATGTAAACATTTAATTAATTCGGTAGAGAAGGTTGATCCGATATTTTTTAAAAAGGTAAGAAATTCCTTTTAAAATATTATTTATATGTACGTATACATATTTAACTCATTGTTTTTTTTTATATACGTAGGTGCAATGGAACGGAAATTATCTATTAATTTCCTCTTATAATGGCGATTTAGTGAATGTATTCTGTTTGGAAAATTCTAGAAATAATCAACCTTCAACTATTTTATCAATTCAAGAAGAATTGGAGTTGGCTATCAGACATGAAGACAGTAGTGACAATGAAGAAAACAATTATGAAGCAAACTTGGATTATTTGCATAGAATATTAGATAAGGTATTTATAATAACATTCTATAATATGGTATTTATATTATTAATTTTCGGTTATTTTGTAGACTAAAATGCTTTTAGAAGAATCACGCAACAAACCCAAAGGACATTTATGGCTAAAAAACGTTCGTTCAAACTTTAAATCATTAGAAAAAATGAATAATGATATTACGGCATTAAATAATTGTATAACAATGCCGAAGACTTGGAAAGATTTTAATAAAAATACAATATATTGAGTATGAAATATATATATAAAGCATAAGTATTGTAGAAATAAATGGTAGTACTTTAATGATATTTGAAAGTTATGTGGATTTAAGAACGATCTTGGATTGTGTTATAAAGCAAGCTCAAAAATTGTTAATTATAATAAAAAAAAGCATGTATTTGAGCAGCGTTTAATTTGTTGGAAGTGATAATTCTGTAATCATAATGGTTTTATACATTAAACAAAGAATAATAATTTATAAAAAAATTTTGCACTA